TATTATATGCCTGGGATCCTCTTCTAGACTAATACTAGAAACACAATCTGATTGAAGGTTTGCAATGAAAGATGAAAATGGCTCTGGTTCAGGTTGATGCATTGCTGTTAGTGTGAGAAACACACAGCATGAACTCAACACTAACGCCATAAAAGCGAAGAGAGCAACTCTTTTTCTCTCCATTACCGCTCTTTATCTCACCAAATCAGCCTGTGCCCAAATCCTCAATTTGGGTTTGCTCCTAAATTGGGAATCCCGAATTGGGTTTTCTTCTTAGCAGGTGATTTATATGGTATGTGTTTGTGTATGGATATTTCGTGTTAGTATTGATATACATCATTACTACTTCATATCACTGTAGGTATGAATATCTTGTGTTAGTATTGATGTAAATATATATATATATATATATATATATATATAATTAGTAATTATAATAATGTTAGTATCCATCCAGAACTGTTATTAATTGAAAATATTATTAACCATATATTTATACGAGTCTTGTATATTCGTTATTACGATAGAGAGTTTCTCTTCAATATTTGAAATTCTAACATTATGAAGGTTAAATACGTGAACTTATCTAAAAAATAGAATGTTAAATACTTGAGGGACAAGTTTCCTTTGATACAGGAAGTTTCCCATTTTATGGGGATCAAATACTGCATTCATGATCTATATCTTTTTTTTTTTCATATATTTCCTGTCTTTAGGGTGACCGTATTTTATGAGATGTAAATTTTTATGTTTTAAATTTTGCCGTGGTCCAATTTGAACCAGGACTCCAAATCCTTTCGTATTTATCTCTCTCCTAAATCGCTCTCCAAATTTGCCTCTATCTCTCTCCTCTAATCTCATGAATCTCGCTCCACTAAATCTCTTTCATTATCTTCCTACTTATCTTTCTCTCTCTCTACTAAATCTCTGTTATAAATCTTCTCCTCTAATCTCATTTATCTCTTTCTACTAAATCTCTCTTATTATCCTCTTATTTATTTTTATCTTTATCTCTATTCTCCCTATTATCTTTCTCATCTAATCTTGTCTCATATATCTCATCATCATCATAACTTTTTTCCAATTAATTAAAGTCGACTACGCGTCATATAAATCTTACCATTATCTTCTCGTCCTATAAATCTCTTCCATATTCTTCCCATTTTCTCTCTTCTTGTCTCTTCTCATATATCTCTTCCTTCTGGAGATAATCTAGGCACATCTCTCTCCCCTATTTTCTACATTTTGATCATGGTCTATTTTGACTCTCTTCCTGCCTACATGATCTCTCTTTCATTTATCACCCCGTCCTCTTTAACTCCACCATTTTTTTCTCTCTTCTCATCATGTGTCTCTTTTCACAAATTTGGTGTGAAATTTTCTCCATAGGCAATATTTAAATAACATGTGCCATATTTTTTTTAACTAATTTTTCTAGATTTTTTTTTTATATTCGTTTTTAATTGGGATTCAAATTTATGATGAAATTTTTATACATATAATTTCGAAATATTTTTTTGTCATCAATTACTGCTATATACAATTTCACAATATCATAAAAAAAACTACTACTATTTCACAATATCATCAATAATTTTACATTGTAAGGAAATAATTTGTGCTTTTTGGTTTTTTGTTTTGTTGGGTTTTCTCCTGTGTAAGAGACATGCTTAGAAAGCAAAAATTTTTTCTAGATATGAGCTTAGAAATTATGCTGAATTTTTTGTATTTTTATGTATATAATTAACTTACTATTTATTATCTTATATTATTATCAAAATTGTATATTTTGTTGGGGACACTTTCGTTTCTTTTCTTTTTTATTTTTTTTTCCTATATATATTTTTACGATTATTGTTTTAATATATTTATGGAACCTTACAAAAATTTTAGAATAGAAAATCCCTTTTATAAAATTTTCAGTTTTAATTTATGAAATTATTTCTCTCTAAAAAATAATCAAATAATTGTTCATTACTGTTGAGAGATTACGATGCCTTGACCAAAAATAAATAGGCAACTACCTATGTTTCTTTCTTTCTTTTTCCCTCAAAACGTTTATAATATTAGTTGGAACGTTTAAATGTATCCCTTTTTTTTTCCTAAAGTTCATAATTTTAATAGTAGAATTTTATGGTTCAAAATTATTTTAGAGTATGTTGCTGATTTTCTTTTTCTTTTTTGGGATTGGCCTTATCCAATTTCAATAAATAAAATATTTATATTTTTAAAAAATTGTAGCAAATTTTTCCTTTTCAAATATTTTCAAAACTATCTTAATTATAATTTAAAACAGAAAATAAATTTCAAAACATTTTCTATTTTAAATTCTGAATTTTAGCTTTTTTAATTCCCTTAATGGCTCATTAACCCATTTTATTAAGGATTTTTAAATTATAAAAATTACTTCTTTTATATTGTTATCAATATTGGGGGGACATTTTGGCTTCTTTTCTTTTATTGGGATTTTCATACCGTTTCATGGCATGACTTAAATTTTGTCTTTTAATTACTAGGTATCCATATTTTCTTACTTTTGTTACTACTTTTAATGGAATGGGATGAGCAGGTCTACTTTGTTCAGGGTTTTAAGAAGTATAACATTGATGATTAAGTAAAATTTACAGGGAAGAAAATATGTGAGATTCGAATAAAGGTTTTGAATCAGGAGGAGAAGTGGGAGAAACTGATTGAACTAAGTTCTCTAGATGGCTTTCCACCTGAAAGCGTCCATGTTTGTATGTCTACTACATCCCCTTTTTTTCTCTATGATCCCGTGTTTATGCATTCGAATTGTCCGTTAATCTCTCAATCTGGTTGCATTATACTGTCATATGATATGAGGAGCAGTGAGAAATGAGAATTGATATGGGACACTGAGCTCCATGGATCTGTATTGGATATGATTCCTCTAAGGCCAACTCTCTTTCCTCTGAGTTGAGTGAGCTCTCATTCAATGTGATTAGGGCTCATTAGGATGTCTGGTTGTTGTTCTCAGAGTCATATCAGATCAATATGTTGATTTTTGTTTTGTTGCTTTAAGGTTAGCAAGTGTTCCATTAGTTTTCGCTATTTCCCATTTCAAAAGACTTCTAGTTGTCCATATATCATGACAAGTGCTAGCAAAAAATATGCACCAATGCCTATCCCCTCCGCCTTGCATTTCTCTTCTCTCTGGCTATCTCTGCCAAAAAAAAAATTAGATTTCTTCTTCCATTTTAAATATATAATTGCATGTAATTCAATACACTAGTGGTGCTTAGGTTTCCGTGATAGCGTTGTCTTCCCTCCATTGAAAGTTTTTAGTGGTAGAAGCCCACACCCTAATCACTACGTTGTGATTTTCATTTTCACCGATACTACCCCATTAACACTTTATAAAAAAAATAATTTTTAAACTATTTGAAAAAACGAGTAGGAGCCTGTCTTCCCCACTGAATTACCAAAAAAAAAAAAATAGTTCATAAAATTTCTCATAAAAAAAAGAGGAGAAAATAAGCGATCAGTCAAAAGTTTGGAGCTCAAAAAAAAAGCTACAAACATAAGAGCAAGAGAGCCTACCCTCTCTCTCTCTCCCTCCTTCCACTAGACAAGCAAATCGCTCTAATCACATACAAATTAAAGACTCCATTGTTTTGTTTCAGATATGTTTGAAGTTCCATTGCATACACCAAATAACCCCACAAACAAAGGGTGTTTCCTAAATCCCCTTTTATATGCCAGTCGCAAGGATCAACCACCATCGAAGAAAAAAAAAAAATGTCACAAGGACCAACCACCATAGAAGAGAAAAAAAAAAAAAAGTTTCATGTCCAGGTATCCTAGATGCCAATAAGTTCAAACCTCTCTTACAAGGGTTGAAGTCAAGACCGATCCAACCTAACCAGACATGATATTTATATGTAATATATACGCAATATTTCTGAATATTATATGATATTTATAAATAAATAAAAAATTCCTTTTTCTAAAGGTCCGGTCTGGGTCCAATGATGTAATGGTCCGGACCAGGTAAGGATCCAATGACCTAGACCGCCCATGATATATCAAGTTTCCCACCTCTGTCGTACATTTTATGGTAAAAGATAGCATGCACGTTCAATCTTAGATATTTACCAACATTGAAAACTTGGATTCCGGCATTGCATTTATTAGAAGCAAATTTATGACAAGATGGATGAACCCTAGAATTAATTTGGTACGTATGAGTTCCACTCTTGAACCAAAAAGAATGGAGGTAATGAGATCCTTGTCCGCTCAAGTGCGCCATTGACCTCTCTCCATGAGAATGATGCCTCATTATTACCATTTGCCGTCCAGAAGACACATACGCATAAATACATGCATATATGTATGAATGTATGTGTGTTTGTGTAGGACAGTTGTCAGACCAACAATGTTTTATAGGACAATGTTGGGCGGTCAAGAAACAATATATTCATAAGATGAGTGTAGGTGAGATGAAAATGTTGAGATGGATGAGTGACAAGACAAGAAGGGATAAAATCCCAAATGAATACATCCAAGGAAATTTGGTGTGGCTTTAATAAGTGATAAGATGAGGAAACGTAAACTTGAGTTGGCTAGCCATGTGCAATGTAGACCTAATACAACACTGGTTAGAATGTGTGGTTTGGTTTAAATAGAAAGCTCTAAAAGGCAAAAAGAAGGCCCCAAAGGACAAAGGTAGAAGTAGTGATAAAAGATATTATGATATATAGCCTTATTTAAGATATGATCATTGATAGAGCAGAGAATGGCAGAACACAAGATTCATATAGCAAACTCCAAATAGTTGGGATAAGATTCGAATGATAATATAATATATATATATATATATATATATATATATATATAGAAAGAGAGAGAAAGCATTGGACCATAATACAATACATTTCCCGTTACTTGTGCTCATTTATGTAAATCCAAGCAAATGGGATTGATTCAGGTAACTTGTTTCAATCTCATAAGGGGAGAGAGACATTAGTATCACAAACTCAGATTCAAAAAAAGAAATTCTATTAAATGCTTGAGAAAGAGGAGAATATCCATTAATACACAACAAAACTGAAAATGAGGGACATGGAGACTCTTTATCTTTCATTTGAAAAAGAGTCTCAAAGAACATTCCTTTTAATTTTCCATCTATTTTACTGGGCAGACTGGACACCCACTTTTAGTAGTAAGAGTGTAGGAAATACATAAGCACTCGTACCTTGTCAAGGATTAGCTTAGAGTTTGGTAGCCTGGAGGTTGCTGCCATCCATCATCTCTTGTAACATTAGTCCTTCCAACAAGAGAGGGCATCCATGGAAACAACTTTCCAAGCTCTTTGGTTATTGAGTTTTCATTTGTTGGCCGGTCACTAATGCCAAACTTTGCTCTTTCTACTGCCTCCATTATATCTTCTCTGGTCACCAATTCACCACCTGATAAAAGCTCAAGACATAAAAAGGAGTATCATGCACATAACGTAAGAATCTAAATAACTAGTATGAAACATCAAATAATTCATAATTGGTCTAATGAAAGCATTGCTACTGGAGTTAAACAGATAGATAGATAGAGGGACAGGGAGAGGGAGAGAAGAAAGAGGAGGAGGGGGGGGAGCACCACGTGAGAGAGAGAGAGAGAGAGAGAGAGAGAGAGAGAGATTTGGTAAAAATGCCCCAGAGGGGTGTGTTTTACTGTTTTGGGGCAACAAAAGAGCATTCTCACATAAAATCCCAGCCAGAATCAGATTTTGTTGACAAGTATCAAATGTGAGGTCTAGTGCAGAAGTCACTTAGGTTTTTGTATGTCATTCTTTTTTATAGAATAATGCCTCAATGACGAAATTCATAATCTGGAAAAGCAGAGATAAATTATTGGTTGATTGTGTAAGTTGCACAATAAATAACTTTTAAATTACAATTCTCTTTTCTTTCTACCAAGAAATGGTACATTAGCATGTGCACATACATACATCTAAAACTCGTTCAGTAAGCAGGATAGGAATGCTGGGTTGTTTGCTCAACAAAAGAAGAAAAAAGAACTTGTATGTTATCATGTGCACACATGCAGAGAAAAATTTCTCACTTTTGAGTTGGTAAAGCATTGAAAACGAAGGATGACAGGAATGCTATGCTGTTTGCTTGAAAAAATAATGCAGTCATCCAGAGGGCACTCCTTATCATGATATCGTTCTTCACCACAAATGACGGGTATAAAAGTCCCCAGCTTTATCTTTTTTGATATATTATGGGAATTGCAATTCGCATCAAACCTTGTGCTATTTCAATAGAAATTTTGTATGGGAAAACCAAAACCACAGTCTGGCTAGCCTGTAACCCATGTTTTAGGGGAAAAATGACAAAGTTCTTTAATAACAATCTCTTAACTATTTACAAACATTATTCATAAGCTATTTAGAACAAATAAATGATAATTTCACGATGCATACATTTATGTTAACAATGTTTAGACACTTCAAAAAGTAAAGGAGCGTGGATGGTAAAAGCAAAGCAAAGCATAGAAGTGATCTGGTCCAGATAAAGCCCTAACAGTGAGCCATTGGGGTTGTAATCATGTTTGAATCCAAAAACAAAAAACCAAAAAAAAAAAAATATATATATATATATATATATATTTAATTTAATTTAATTAATTATATATAATAATAATAACTAATAAGTATAGTATATA